ATATTTCACAGACATAGAACAAACACTTCAAAAATTTATATGGAACCATAAACGAGCCCGAATAGCAGCTGCACTTTTGAGAAAAAAGAACAAAGTAGGAGGGATCACAATACCTGATATCAAACTGTATTACAAGGCCACTGTAATCAAAACAGCCTGGTACTGGCATAAAAACAGGCACATAGACCAATGGAACAGAACAGAGAGCCCAGAAATAAACCCAACTCTCTACAGTCAATTAATATTTGACAAAGGGGGCAGTAACATAAAATGGAGTAAAGATACCCTCTTCAATAAATGGTGTTGGGAGAACTGGACAGCTACATGCAAAAAAAAAATGAAACTTGAGCACAAACTTACACCATACACCAAAATAAATTCAAAGTGGATAAAAGACTTAAATATAAGCCGTGACACTATTAAAGTTCTAGAGGAAAACATCGGCAAGAAAATCTCAGATATTTCACGCAGCAACTTTTTTACTGATATGTCCCCTAGAGCAAGGAATATAAAGGAAAGAATAAACAAATGGGATCTCATCAAAATAAAAAGCTTCTGTGTGGCTAAAGAAAACAGTATTAAATGAAAAAGACAACCAACTGTATGGGAAAACATATTTGCCAATGATACCTCAGACAAAGGTTTAATCTCCAAAATATATAAAGAACTTACATGACTCCACTCTAAAAAGACATCTAACCCAATTAAAAAGTGGGAAAAGGACTTGAACAGACACCTCTCCAAGGAGGACATACAGAATATTCAGAGACACATGAAGAGATGCTCAATATCGTTAGCTATCAGAGAGATGCAAATTAAAACCACAGTGAGATACCACTTTACACCAGTCAGGATGGCTATCATAAACAAAGCAACAAACAACAAATGTTGGAGAGGTTGTGGGGAAAAGGGGTCCTTAGTTCACTGTTGGTGGGATTATAGACTGGTACAGCCATTATGGAAAATAATATGGATTTTTCTCAGAAAAATAAAAATCGACCTGCCTTTTGACTCAGCGATTCCACTGCTAGGATTATATCCTAAGAATCCTAAAACATCAATTTCAAAGAACCTATGCACCACAATGGTCATAGCAGCACAATTTATAATAGCCAAAAGCTGGAAGCAACCTAGGTGTCTGTCAGTAAATGAATGGATCAAAAAACTATGGTACATATACACAATGGAATTCTATGCAGCAGAGAGAAAGAAGGAACTACTACCCTTTGCAACAACATGGATGGAACTGGAAAGCATTATGCTGAGTGAAATAAGCCAGGGGTTGAAAGACAAATACCATATGATCTCACCTTTAACAGGAAGCTAAACAACAAAACGAACAAGCAAGCAGAATAAAAACAAAGACACTGAAATAGAGAACAAGTGGACAGTGACCAGAGGGGAGAGGGAAGGAAATTTAAGGGGGAAAAGGGGAGGGATTTTGGGGAACAAATGAGAGGGACACAGGTAGGAGGGCTGGAGAGGTGGGGGAGGGGGGAGGGAGGAGCGCGGGACAGGGGGGTGGGCTTGGATGGGAGAAATAGACAAAAAACTGTACTTGAAAAATAACTAAATAAAAAAAATGTGAAAAACATATTACATAGGTACTAACAAAATAATAGAGAAAATACACGTCCACATTTTTTGATGAAATTCAAAATTGAATATTCAGTACAATGTTTTGGAAATATATATCTATTAGTAAGAGGGATGGTATCTCTTTTTTGAAACTTGCATTATTGGAGATGAAAATAGTGTTCCTGATATTGCACTTGCAGCAAATGCCTTGGCTTACAGGCAATACAAAAATAGGCAGTGGGCTGGATTTGGCCAATGGTCCATAGTTCTATACCAACTGGTGTAAAAAACATGGTTTCAATATCTAAGTACCCATGGAGGTTCTGACTAAAGTTACAAGGACAGGAGGAAAAAAAAAGAGAGAGAGGCATAAGTATTGGGAGAGATACTTTGACACTGTTTGCAATCATATGACTATAGAGCTATAAAGCCAACAGAATGCACAACGTACTGAACTGATTTCATTACAATTCTAAAAATTCATCAAGGTTGTTAAAGTTTATCAACTAACAAAAATCAATAACATTTCTCTATACCAGAAAAAATGATAATAACAGTTGGTGGTTAAAAAAAAACAAATGGCCATTTCATGAAGACGGTGCCGAAAGCGAGAAAGGGAGACCCTGCAACTCTCAAATCGAAAGCAAAGCCATGAAGGCACAGAAAGAACTACTGAAAGTCGTCCATGACATGCAAAAAAACAAGGACTGTGCTTCAACCACCTTTTGATGGCCAAAGACACTGTGTCTCCCGAGGCAACCTAAGTATTCACCCTCTGGAGACACAGGCTTGGCCATTCCACCACTATCGTGTCCCCTGTCCACAGAGGGAGCCGTGAAGAAGAGGGAAGAAACGGCACACTTGTGTTCACCGTGGGTGTCAAGGCCAACGAGCACCAGGCCAAACAGGCTGTGAGGAAGCTCTAGGACACGGATGTGGCCAAGTCCCACAACCTGCTCAGGCCTCATGGAGAGAACAAGGCACATGTTCACCTGCCTTCCCCATGGGATCATTTGGATGTTGCCAACAAAATTGGGGTCCTCTCAACTGAGTCCTGCTGGCTAAATCTAAACATAAATATTCTACACCATGAAACAAACAAACTGGTAAAAGTACATAGTAATTAAAAACCAAGAATACACAAGAAAACCACCAAGGGGAAAATTGTGAAACTCTGAGAAAGGACACGGAAGATGATCTGAGTACGCAGACGGACACGGGGCTCACTGGTTTGGGTCCAGGGACTGCGAGCCAGACCTCTGACCTTCAGAACTGCAGGACAATAAACTCGCTGTTTGGCCTCTAAGTTTCTGGTGACTGGTTCCAGTGCAGTGAAGAAACTAATGCAGGACCCGTCTCTCCCATCCAGCTGAAGGCCAAGACCAGAGCTTCCTCACTGTATTTCTGATGCCCAGGCAGAGTGAACTCCTGGATGGAACTGAGCATGTGTGACCAGGTGAGGAATCCCATTCATGCTGGCCTGCCTCTGGGATTTAACCTGTGATGCTCTTTGCAACCAGTTTGTTTCTCTTTCTTTAACCAACTCAATTTATTTCCAATTCTCAGAATGTGTTGATGGACAGTGAGGTGATAGTAGGGTGATATAGAAATAAAAACAAAAGACTTAGCGTTTAAATGTCATGGTGGAAAAGGCCCAATGTGAGCTTGGCCCTCTAGTCCCTTAGCAATGTGCACCAAGAAGCAGTAGCATCACTCCCAATGAAGGCTGATTTCACCATAACTTTCATTCGATAACTGGTTTTGTTCGATATCCTAGAAAATCAAAATACAGGTTTAAAAATAAGTGTCTTTCTACATGTTTGTCTTTAGAAGAAATAATCACTGATTTGGGTTGACAGGAACAAGACAGCGAAAAAAGAGATGCCAGCCCTCATGTCTCCATGGAAACACCTATTTTAACAACCACCTGTAGGTGAGAATATCTTACAGTTTATGAGAATCCAGGACACAACAGAGAGGCCCCACCACCCAGGGGAAGCAAGACAATTCAAGGCACTGATGCACAGAAAAATGTAAGAAGGACAGTTTCCCTTCACCAAAGTCACCCCTCCCAAGGTAACACAGCACTGGCATCTCTGGCAGCCTGTTACAAAGCAGAGTCTCAGACGCCACCAAGACCTGCTAACTCAGAGCTCCCAGTTCATCAAGGTCCCAGGGGATTTCTGTGCCTGTTCTGAGAAGCACAACAGACTGCATGACAGGAACCCATAAGTGACATTTCCCGTTGTTCTCTGTGTTATTTACCATTTATGCAAATGGGTCATGCTGCATCTGTTCCTCAACAATTGTTCTGAGATCAAGCCATGCCAATATAGATCTAGGACATTCCCTTTAACTTGTTCAGGAAACTCACATTTATGTTAATGATAATGAAATCTGTCAGGAAATAAATGTATCAATGGCATTGACGTAGTGAAATCATGTACAAATGACCCTTGGGCTGAGGGTGGGGGGGAATGTTTTCACCATGGGAATCAATCACGGTTTATGACTTTAAGACTAAATGTTACATAACAGGACAAAACAATGTTTTCCAGTCCTGTGTCTCCCATGTCACTGAGAACACTCAAAGTAGCCTAGCACAGCAAGGATATTGTTACATGAACACGGAATCTGTACAGAATGGGAAGGGTCCTTCACCCCAACTTCAACTGAACTGCATATTCTTAATGCATTTAGGGACACTAGCAGCTCACCAGACATGTGCACAGTAGACACCAGCGGTAGAAAGGGAGGTTTTCCAAACCCACTCCCTCCCAGCACGGGAGTGTGGAGAAGCCACAAGAGGAGGCTGGGCCCTGACCCCTGACACACAGAGTCAGCCTCTGAGCATCTATCTCTCAGTGCCACCCCGAGAAGGCCAATTCTGGGGTGAATTCTCCCCCCGAATTGGGGAGAATTCCCCAATTGCTCTCATGGAGAAAACTGTGGGGCAGCTCACAGTAGCTTTCTTGGGTCACTAAGAAACAGGCCAGTCAAAGGGCAGGCAGTGCTCACAGGGATGGAGAACGACAGCAGAGGTGGGAGAATCCTGAAACCCAGGAAGCTTCTGAGAGGCTAGAGGACCATATGGGGAAAGGGCCAAGGAGCCCCTCATGGGCCTGCTGGCAGCTCTTACTCTCTCACATACACAAAACAGTCACACAACTAACTGTGAGACACATGATTTATTGACCAGGGAGAAGAAAGCGTTATTATTCACGGTGGACTACTCCTGGGTATGCCTTAGGGAGGTGGAAATTTTGAGACAACTGTTGATTCTTGGTGAGTTGATGAGTCTTTTCTAGACACATAGAGAAGGTGCTGAAGATTCAGAAAAAAATGCCTTCCTGGATGACAGTGCTGGAAATCAGGTCACAGAACTTGTCATACGATGTCATGGGGACCATGGAAGGAAGCACTCACTCTGCACTAAATGAGCACATGAGAGAGAGCACCCAGAAACTCATTAGCACTTCCTGGATTGAACTGGGGACAAACAGAGGTGCCAGGACAGAGAATAATGGTGAAGATGGAGCTAACAGCCTGCCCTCTAACCCAAGCTACTTGCCAGAACAGAGGGAAAGGGGGCACTGGGACACTGATTTTTCTCTTTCTATTGCTATTGCATCTTACCCTTCCCTACACTGAGTCTGTGAAACACAGAGAGGACTCAGTGGAGGACCCCAGGCTGGTTTCTGCCATCCTCAGCAGGTTTTCCAGAAGTTTTGTTGAGCAAGAAAGAACGGCAACAACCATAGTTTCCGTTATTAAATGCTGGCTATTTGCAAGCCATATGGCTGAGACTTTCCCAAATGTTAGGTGAATAAAGCCCCACAATATGGCTCAGGGAGGAAACACATGAGGAAATTCAGGGCCTATATTCCAGGTGCAGGACAAAGGGAAGGTCAGACAGCTGGCCTTCCAGGTCAGAAGTTAAGGGTGTGTAGAGATCAAAGGAAGACAATATTCCCAGATATTAGAGGGTGAGACCAAAAATTCTGGCACTGGAAGATGGACAAAATCCAGAAGTGTATTTGAGTTTCACACTCACAGCCTGCTACTCTTGCCTATTTCGCATGTTAAGTGTTAATGCTTTTAGGACACTATCAATTCCTGAGGCCTTTTTAGCAGCAGGATATGCACACAGTGGCCCTGTGAGGTGTCCATCATTGTTTCTTCCTTTCCATCCTGAGGTCATTTGCTCTAAAGTTCATAAATGTGTGGCTCCTGAACCAGAACCCCCAACTGCAAATTTCAAGCTCAGCCCACAAGCTTCCTTATCAAATGTGTCATTGTAAATATTGAGCCCCACGCCCTGCTGGGTTTGGAGGGCAGTGACATCTGGGCCACCCCCGCTCCTCAGACAGCACCCACCTGGAGCTCTGGGATCCATGGTTCCCTGGGGCCTGGGAACAGGGGTCTGCAGAGGCAGAACAGAACACAGTCAACAAGCATCCTCTTATTGCCCAGAGAGAAACCGAATGAGTTTCTAGGGTAGGACAGAGGGGACCCATTCAAGGTGTTATCTGCTTTTGCTTTTTTCCAGTCAGTAGTAACACAGAAACTTAGGAAGAGAAAACCACAGAGAGGTAAACTTACCAGCATTGCTCACATCCACTACATTTTCTGTTGGGATTCCATACTTGTTGGCAATGTTCCTCAATCCTTTTCTTGGGTTGTGGACTCACATCTGGGTTTCTGGCTGGGGGAAGAGTGACAGTAATGGGTGTGACATGTGTTGATCATGGAGACCCTTGGGACATGGGGGACAGATGATGAGGATGGATGGCACTGAGTGCTGCTTAGCCAGAAGTGAGGGAGGGGCTGTTGCCTGTCTTGACTTTGACATTTTAGGATGTCCTTCTGCAGGATGAGAGATTTCATCACCTTCCGATCACTTCTTAGCCTGGGGGATGCTCACAGTCAGCACCTCTCTTTGGGGAGGACAAATGGACCAGCAGAAGATTGGGAGAAACTTTTATCTGCATCCCACTCCAAGGTGAGTATCAGCATGAGAATACTTTACCATCGAGCTCGATAATCTTGGTTATTTTCTCATGATCAATATTCAAGGTATAAGAAATAAGATATTCATTGTAGACTGCTTCGGCTATTTGTACCCAATTGTATCCATCATCTGTGGAGGAAACAGAACACAGGTCAGAAATTCTTAGGTCCATGGAAAGCAAGTGAAACTCTCTACCTATTCTCTTTTACAAAACAAATTCAAGTGCATATCCTGGAAGAGGTAAAAGTGATATCTAAACCTTTTGTTTGCTCCCAGGGCTTTCTCTGGTGACTTCCAAGGGTGGAAATGACAATCCCTGGTACCTGGATTCTTAGTGGTAGGAAATCCAGCCACAGCTGCGACTGTCCTACTATTACTTTCTCCGAGGCTCACCAACCTCCCTCAGCCCTGTCTGCCATGTATGTGTCTCTGTTCTGTCTGGGAACCCCCCTGGTATTACATACTGGCACCCTGTCCAGCCAAGGGTGTGTAGCAATGGCCACCAGAAGCCGTCACAGTGGATGTGGAATGAGAAGCTCTCCAACAATTTAATTTTTGTGGGCCAGTTTTCTTTTGTTACAGGTGGTACACATTCCCGCAGTGTCATTTTGTTTCCATGATCTTATGTGCCAGGCCTTGGCTTTACAAACCAGGTTCCTTAAATATTAGAAAGCTTTGGCTATTACATGCCTCATGTGGAGGACCTAAACAGCATGAGCCAGAAATGGATCGATCCTAAAGACTTTGGGATTTAGTACATTTCTTGCAGTTGGAAGTAGAATTTACAAAGACGTTTTTAAATGTGTACTTACAGGGAACATCATATACACCCTCCTCTTCTGTCTCATCAGCAACAAAAGGAAGTTCAGTGCACTCTCCGTTGATCCTGTGAAACACAATGAGCTGAGTGGTGCCCGTGAGATACAGCGTGGCTGGCTCCCCTCCACTCCACCTATAACCTGAGTGTCCCATTTCAATGAACTATTGAAAATCTTTTGTAAACCTTTGAGTGACCTTCTATTTTCCTCTTTCACTTTATTTGCTACTGTAAGAATGAGTCAACCACTACTATCTCCATTCCTCTACCACCACTTCCCACTATCCCTACTCCTCCAGCTACCTGTCTAGATACTTGACTGAGGGCTCAGATGAGCCAGCATCTCAAATAAATGCTGTACAAACATTGCCTCACTCAACCCTCACACAAACAAAAAAAACCCTCAGAGGTGAGTATTATGATCATCTTTCTTTACCCAAAGATAATTGGGGTGGAAACAGATCAAATTTCTTGGTTACACAACTAATAAGAGATAGATTCACTAGAGAGCCAGGCTCTTCATCCCCATGCTACCCTCTTACCTAAACTACATTGTCCCACTGCTTCTGACTTGTACTCCTCTGCCCCTACCTCCGCTATTCCCATCTAAATCATTCCTGTCAGCATTCTTACCTCTGAATCTAGATAATCTTCAGGTTTATCAAGTGGAGGATCAGTGCCTGATAAGGGCTGCTGTTTGGGACGAAGGCCCACAATGTAAGTGGGCACAGAAATGTCCATGATTGTGTGTTTGTGTTGTGTTTGGGTTCAAAGCTCCAAGACCATATTCAGCTTCTTTCCCCAAGTAAAAAGGCCATACTTACTCCTTATGATACTTGAGTAACAGAGAAGAGTTATCCAAGGCCTGGATGTATTCCATAAACATTCTGAAGCTACCATTTTCTTCTATCTTTTCCATCGAGTCTGCAGCCAAGAGAACAGTATACCACTCCCCGGAAATCTGCAAATAATCAGTAAAATGTTTGGGAGAGAAAAGAAGAGATGGGACACTGTATGCACCCTGTTTCCTTGAGCTCTGGCCCCTGGGACAGGCCTCACAGTGGTAATGTGAGGAGGTAATTAGAACTCAGGTCAATTGGCACCCCAAGTAGGGCTCTTTCCACTGTCCCTGTGCTGAGAACAGAGGTCCCAGAGTGTTGTCATCTTTCCACATGCTATAACTGCTCTGGGTCCAAGGACAGAAATCAACCTTTTTGTCTAACATCAAAACCTCTAGCCCTGTGGCAGGGCCACCTCCCCTCAGATCTCCCCAAACTCCCCTAAATTCTAAACTTCCTATGCTACCCTGACTCTACCTTTGCCATATCGAAGTTGCTGGTCACCACGTCACGCTTCTCTTGACCATGGACACAGAGCAGGGTCAGCCCCAGGCACAGTAGCAGCAGCTTCATCTTGGGAGGGATGACACTCACTCAGTGATGGTCACTGGGAGTGAGTCTTTTCATGAATGTAGCTCTGCGATCCAGCATCTCTGCCTTTATATTCTTTCTGGGTCCAGTGTTCTGTCCATGGGGCCCCACCTTTCCCCTCCCCTCCTACTCCCCAGATGCTCTGTGTCACTGATGGAAGGCCAAGACTGTTCCTGCACATCTCATCTCTTCTGGATTTACTTAGTGACCTGAAATTACTCAAAACACACACTCAAAAAAAATGATATAGATGCCATGAAAGACTGCCATTTGGAACCAGATTTAACCTTGAAATCAGAAAGTTAATTATGTGTGGCGAGAATGGACAGCACTAGGAACTGGGGTGTGTGGACAACCCAGCTCCCACAGCTCACGTGCTGGGAGGCCGTGGGTGAGTCACTCCATCATAACCAGCGTCAGAAACAAAGAAACTGTGTGTACCAAAGATGACAGTACCTGTCAAGAATCATTCTAACAGTGCCAATTAGAATAGGCATGGGTAAAATAATGTATGGAAGGTACAGTGTTTGGTATTCAGTACATTTTAACTCCTTTTCCTCTATGTCTGAATTTAAGCACAATGAAGGAACTAATGTTTAGTCACTACTTACACCTCATCATATTCCATAGGTCTCTGGGAGAAGTGGAGAGATGGAAGAAATCGTCCATACCCCACTTCTGTCTACAAGCTGATGCCGCACCCCAACTGGGTGGGACCAAGTCAGGACCACTGTGGGTCAGAAAAGAAGGTGCTGTCTGGGAGGCAGCATCACATACCCAGTGTTTACAAACACAGGCTTTGGATTCACATAGACCTGGGCTTCATTCCTATCTCTATCCCTTGTATGCCATGACATCAATTTAACCACTCAGAGCCTTAGTGTCCTATTAATTGGGATAACCATACCTGTATATAAATGGATATAGGGACACAATGGGACAGTGTGTGTGTACAATCTTCAGACTAATTTCCGCCACTGATGGGCTGGTGGGATCTGTCCCGGGAGAAAATTACTCCTGGGGAGGTGGTACTTGGGGACAGGTGGGGTCTTCAAATACAGGCAGGGTGTGCAGATGTGGAAAACATGTGGGGAGGGGCTTCCTAGTGAGAAGAATGCTGTGATTAAGGCTCCTGTGGCCATAGCTGAGGCTTCTTAAAAGCTAGGGCTCATTTCTGCCTTGTGCTAATGGTTTTCTTTGACACCCCCAACTCACAAAGAGGCCTGTGTCACAGGAGGAGATGGGTACACAGCAGTGAACCTAGAAATTGTGCCATCCCTATCTGCAGCCGGCTTTCAAAAGTCCTCCAAACCCGTTGTGTGATCCTGCCTAGTTCATGCTCAACAGATACATGGTCACTGGTATTTTGAGGTCCATATAACCTGAGACAACATGGACAGGACAGAGGTTGTCTGACCTCTGAGATAGAGGAACTGAGCTTGAAAAATGGTGCCAAAGCATACGCACTGCACTGTGTCTTGTTGATTGTGTCCAAGAACAGATGGCACACTATGAGCAACCAGGTTCGCAAGATGAACTGGGTTGTGATGGTGAGGGGTTGGCCATGTGCCGCTGTTGCCCACATGGTCTCTGTCCCATCCCACATCCCTCCTGACTCTGCACTCATATCAGAGGGCCATATTGCAACTTTCTGCTTCCGGGCACTCCCACTGTGTGCTCAACAAAACAATGAAAAATATGCTGGTAGCGCCAGGACAGTAGGACCCAGAAAGACAAGTGCAACTACCTATTCACAGTGTTGCTCATCAGAAATGCTTGTGTGGGGAAGAGCAACCTGCTGAACCACTTCAGACAGCGAGTTCAACCTAGAGAGTGAGAGCACTATTGGCGTGGAGTTTGCCACCTGAGCATCCAGGAAAATGGCAAGACCATCAAGGCCAGACCTGGGAAAGAGCTGCCCACAAGCACAATAGCACCATCACTCCTGCATACCACTGGGGTGCAGTGGGTGTGCTGCTGGTATATGACACCCCAGCACGTGACAGGCAAGCATGAGGGGTGCTGGCTGAAGGAGCTGGGGTACCACACTGAGAACAACATTGTAATCATGCTGGTGGGCAACAAGAGTGACCTGTGTCATCTGTGGGCCATGCCCACTGACTAGGCTTGTTCCTTATTAGAGAACAACTTGTCCTTCATCCAGACCTCAGCCTTGGAGTCCTACACTGTAGAGGAAGCTTCCAAGAACATTCTCATAGACATCTACAACATCAGGTCACAGAAGATTGCACACCTCGCGGCCCATGACAAGTGCCCTGTCAAGAACGAGGTGCACATCAGCATGCCACCCTCTACCCATACACAGACATCTAACCAAATGCTGTGCTAGCAGTACCTGTTAACTCACTGGGCCTTGTCTGAATGTGTGTGCACCTCCTCACCCTTCACCCATCTCTTGCCATGATGTTTCCCCTGATCTGCCCCTCTGCCCCTCTGACTGACTGCCACCAACCCACTGAGCTCTGCAGAGTCAGCTGGGGCTTAGGAACAAGAGAAGTCAAGAAGCACCTCCTGTCCTTTTCCTCTCCTCCCAGACAAACTTGAAGCCCAGATGCTGCATCTATTTTGGGGGGACCCAGTCTGCCTCAGAGAAGGGCCAGGAGAGTGATAGGATGGACAGGGCCAGCCAGAAGAAAGAAGATGTGTGCACTGAGTACGCTTCTTCAGAATCCCACAGCAGACTCTAAGAAGTGATTACCTCCCTCCTTCCCTGGCAACTTGTTCTAAGTGGCTCTGGGCCCCACCTAGATCACCAGCCTTGGCTGAAGACTGAAAGGCAAGTGAACATGGAGGGAGGCTCAGGCAGGCAGAAACAGACTCTTGGCATCTCACTCCTTACACAGGCAGCACCAGCATATGCCTCCGACCTCGGCTAGTCCACAGCATGTGTGAATTCAGCTCAGCTTCTGCCTGTAGATTTCTGCTGGGGGAAGACCTCCTTTCCTTTATGCACATAGAACATTCCCCACCCATTGCCAGGCCCTTCCCACTGTTTGGTCTCCTTCTGTGGTCAGGAATCTGTTTGCAAGAGAAGCAATATTTCAATGTGTTTTATACACACACAAAAAGAGAGAGAGAGAAAAAATAGGAGAAATGAAGGCGTGTGCCACAGAATGTTCACCCACCCAGTTTTCATTCTTAATGCCCAAATATTCATCGAATATTTTTTTGTATCTCTCAGTGTAAGGTTTTTGGCAGTTGTTTGGAAAAACATTTATGTTGACCTTCAACAAAAGTAATGCAGCATTTCTAAACATCTGTGGGGAAAACTTGATTTATATTCCAAACACAAGTATGGGACTTTGGAATCGTCAGCCAAAGATTTGTGTCTCCAACATTCTAATTAACCATCACAGGCTGATGGAACACAAAGCAACAAGTCTGGTGATTGGTGATGAAGAAGCAAAGTGTGAAGCTTTCCATGGAAGACATTACAGTTTATTGTTTTCATGCAGGCACTCAATGTGTTCCATTTGGATTCTAGGAAAGTGTTGGGAAGTTTGGGATTTCTATAACACATTATAATTTTTCCTACTTAAATGAGTAAGCGTTGGGGAGGAAATGGAGACATGGAAGTCTCCCCCACTGTGGATGGAAATGTAAAATGGTACCATCGCTCTAGAGAAGCTGCTCAGCTTCTTACAAGAATTAAACCCAGACCTATTACATGATCCAGCCATTCCACTCCTAGCTTTAACCCTAGAGAAAGGTAAACACATACCCATGCAGAGACTTGTATGTGAGTGTTCAAAGGCACTTTATTTGGAATAGCCAAAAACCGGGACCAAGAAAATGTCCATCAACAGAAATGGGTAAATAATTGGTGGTATGCCCATCCAAGGGAACATGATGCAACAATAAGAAAGGAACACGCTGTTCATAAATACAACAGAAAAGCATCTCACGGTAATTATGCTGAATGAAAATAGCCAGACCAAGAACAAAGTACATACTGATAACTGCATTTATATAATGTCTGGAAAATGCAAGCTCTGGACACAGAAAGTGGATTGGGGTTGCCTGGGCTTTGGGTGACACAGTGGAAGGGAGGCAGTGATTAAAAAGGCACAGAGGAAACTACAGAGAATGATGGGAAAATTGACTGTGCAGACTGTGGTGATGGTTTCATGGGTATCTCCCTGTACAAAATTATCCAATTTTATACCTTACCTTTTTTTAAGATTCATTTATTTAGTTTTAGGGACAGGAAGAGATACTGAGAGTTGAACAGGCAAGCTTTTTCTTCATGGAGCAACCCCCAACCCACTGAGCCACACTGGTCAGGGTGAGTTATATACCTCAAATATGTGCAGTGGAATGTCTATTATACCTCAGAAAAGCTACGGTTAAAAATAGGAAACAACTTTGCAGTTAACATTTGTACATACAACCTCTGATTTTTATGAAGGGAATTCTTCATTTCTGACATTACTCAGGAAAATGCCTTCTTTGGGACACAGAGCTCAGGACTTCCCAGCCCTGCACTGACACACACCCCACAGAGGAGGCTGGGATAGGCCCTGGGCCATTATGGGGGGTTCTGCTTCCTAAGTTCCTATAGGCAGGGGATTCAACTGGGTCTAAATGAGGACTCCAAAAGCATCCACTCCCATCCAGCTGGATCTTAGTTGACACCAGACCCTGGTTCAGATTCCAGACTTACCCAGATGGGCCCTGAGTTGTGATAGGAAATCCTCCTTGTTCCCAGACTATTTTGGGGACTACTTCTAACAAACCATTCACTGGCTGTAGTCCTGTCAACACAGGGCCCCTCCAAGCCCTAGTCCTAACCTTTGCAACTCCAGCGACTGTCCCAAGACTCTCATGTGCTAAAAGCATCCCCTTGAGGAGGCCCATAGGAGCTTCATACTTCCCCATTTTTCCAAAGTGTCCTTGGGCTGCCTTTTCATTGCTCCACACTGACCCCACTTCTCTTGCCAGCAGTAAGTATGTAGAAGCCAACACAAGTCCCAGGTTTTCTGAAAGAGCGCTCCCAATGTGTCCCATGGTCTCTTAGTGCCAACTCAGTCTCAGCTTCAGGACACCTGGCTCTTTCTTACAGCAGGTGCTGTAAGACAGCAGAAGAAGCAGAAGAAGCAGAAGAAGGCAGTTGCCATACACATGTTGGGCCAGCAAGAGACCACAGGCCTCCCACAGATGTCCTGGAAGCATGAATTCAGTCTCCAGGTAACAACCATTCCAGGCACCTGCCCAAATACATTGAAGAGAAACCTGAGCCCAGGGCATTGGAGAGGTCACCTGTGAGGGCCCCTAAGCCATATCCTGGAGTCTTTCTGAGTACCTGGGCCAATCTGTGATCATCCACCTACAACCACCCACCTCCACAGCACTGTTTGGGGCAGCTCCAGACACCCCGACACCATGTTTCCAGTTCTTTGATTCTCTTTTAGACAGAAGTAGCGAAACCAACACATCCCATCTTTACATGGATGTGTTTCAACTTTGGCTGCACTTTTGAAGCACCTGGAGAGCTTTTAAACAACCTCGTACATGTGGCAAGGCCATCTTCCTCTCCCATGTCACTGGTCACACAAGTCACAACCTTTTCTGTGTAGGTCAGGGAAGGCCCCTGATGAAGACAACGCACGTGGTGAGCCTGTGTTGATGGGGCTAAGCACCATTTCAGGTGTTGGCTGTGAGGGAACAAAATAAACTCCTTGGCTTCATCGCACTTACATTCAGGACAGTGGTTCCAGGCTGCAAACATATAAAGGTGGGAAATCAAGAGGTGGGGAAACACCACTGTCTGATGCTTGGGGTTCAGAGGAGTCCTCTGTGTGAGGTGACAGACACACAGAAACCAGAATGTCATGAGGGGGCATGACATGCAGATATTTCAGTCTGAGTATTTCACCGAGGCCACAGGCCGCAGTGCTCACAGGGGTCTAACGAAACACCACGTGCATAACAACACAGGTGTAACACACCAGTGGGAAACCGATGGCAGCTTGGGGAGCCAGGCAGCAGGGCCATCACTGTCAGTGCTGTTGAACAGGTTTTCTCCTCAGGCAGGGCTCTCCTCAATGGCTGGCATGACATCCTCTGTCTTTCTTTACCAAGGGGTCAGCCACCAACTGTCTACTCTTTGAGGAGCCAATCAGAGCAATCATAAAGGGTTTGTTAGCAGCAGAACAATGTTTCAGGATAGCTAACTTTCAAGAACAGTAGCTGGTATATTCTGGGTGGGAGACACTCATTTAACAAGGCACAACATTTTACAGGCACATGGCAGATTTATAAAACAAATACACTCCGACTTCTGGCCAAGATGGAGGCATAGGTGGATACACTGTGCCCTCCTCACAAACAAAAGAAAAAAACAAGAAATTTAAAAACAAATCAACCACAAGTGGTTCATTTAGAACTGTATGGAAATCTAACAACCAAGGAGTTAGAGAAACATTCATACAGACAAATAGAGGGGCAGAGACAGGTAGCTAGGCAGATAGGACTCAAGGCAAAGCAGTGGCTGGCAGACCAGGTGAGGTGTCTGCTGGAGCAGTGCATGGTTCCACAGTTGGGAATGAACCGAAAAAAACAGCTGAGGAGTGAGACAGACCATGCAACCCAGGGTTCCAGTATGGGGAAACATAACCTCCAAGCCTCTCAATGAGAAAATCTGTGGGGGTTAAGCAGCAGCAGGAGAAAGTTCCAGCCTCACAGGAGAGTTTGTTGGAGAGATCCAAAGGGTTCTGAAATGTACACAAGCCCACCAACCCAGCAATGACTTCCAGAAGGACCCAATTTGCATATGGATAGAGGGGGAAGTGACAGAAAACCAGCCCAGAGCTGAGGGCTCCATATTTTTACCTCCTGAAACCCTCACCCACATACAGCTCACAGGACGGTGATGTGGTTGCCCCACCCTGGTTAACACCTAAGGCTCTGCCCCTTACTCTTAGCAGGCATGCTGCAACAAAATTATATGGCCAAATGAAAGAACATATCAAAGCTCCAGAAATAAATGCAACAAAGCAACCAAGAGTAGCCAACCTATCAGATGCACAGTTCAAAGCAATGGTAATCAGGATGCTCACAGAAATGGTTGACTTTGGTCGCAAAATACAGGTAAAAGTGAAGGCTATGCAAAGCCAAATACACGAAACCAACAGTGAATGAAGGAAACCATGTCTCAAATCAACAGTTTGGACCAGAAGGGAACAATAAACATGGAACCAGAACAGAATGAAGGAACAAGAATTCAAAAAATGAGAGGCTTAGGAACATCTAGGCCAACTATAAACATTCCAACTTCCACATCATAGCGGTGCCAGAAAGAGAACAGAAACAGCAAGAAACTGGAAACTTATTTGAGAAGATAGTGAAGGAGAATTGCCCAATCTGGCAAAGGAAATAGACTTCTAGGAAGTCCGGGATGCTAGAGAGTCCCAAAGAACTTGGCCCAAAGGAAGCACATGCAAAGGTACATCATGATTACATTACCCAAGACTAAAGAGAAGGAAAGAATCTTAAAAAGCAACAAGGGAAAAGGAGACAATTACCTACAAAGGAGTTTTCACAAGCCTAACAGCTGATTTCTCAAAAGACACCTAACAGGCAAGAAGGGGCTGGAAAGAAATATTCAATAGTCATGAAAGGCAAGGATCTACATCCAACATTGTTCAATGCAACAAAGCCACGTTTCATAATAGAAGAAGAGATAAGATGCTTCCCACATAAGCTGAACTTAAAGGAGTTCATCATTACCAAGCCTTTATTATATAAAATGTTAAAGGGACTTATTTAAGAAAAAGAACAAGTTCAAAACTATGAACATTAAAATGACAACAAGCTCACAACTATCAACAAACAAACCTAAAAAACCAACTAAGCAAACAACTAGATTAGGAACAGAATCATAGGTATACAGATCACATGGAGAATTATCAGAGAAAAAGAGGAAGAGGGAATAGGAAGGAAGTATGTGGAATAAGTGGCATAAATGCTAGGTAGAAAACAGACAGGGGGAGTTTAAGAATACTATAAAAAAATGGAGAAGCCAAACAACTTAAACGTACACCCATGGACATAAACTAAAGAGGAAGGGAATGTGGGTGGTAGGGAGTGTGGAGGGCAGAGGGGAAGAAACAAGGGTAATGGGAAACTAAATTAGCACAATCAATAAAATATGTTTCTTTTTTTTTTTTTTTTTTTAAGGAGAACAGCTGGTAACTTCTGATAGGCCTGCTTGCAGGAGCAGACACTTTCAAGTCAAAGTGTGTCCTGGGACCAGAGATTCAGCTGGCAGAGTGTGCGAAACTGGGAAGGAGATTGGCAGTGTACCTTGTTGCCCTTGAAATGCCAGATGACATCAGGGTGTCCTGGTTTGACATTTACACTGGAAGTTTATTTGACATTAATCTATGGTTCCTCCATTCACATGGAAGTCATTCAAGGAGAGCAGCAAGACGGACACTTAAGAACATTTCCTGAGCCCTGACCAGTGTGGCTCTGTTGCTTGGGTGTCACACTGCAAAGGTCACTGGTTTGATTCCCAGTCAGGGCACGTGCCTGGGTTGCAGGATCCTTTCCCAGTCAGGATGCATATGAGAGTCAACCTATCCAAGTTTTCCTCTCACATCGATGAGTCTCTCCCTCACCTTCTCCCTCTCTTCTGCTTTATCTAAATATAAATTAATACAATCTTTAAAAACAATATCTCCTGAATCTCACACTTATATACTTTCATGGTCATTATATGGAAGGCATTTGGAGGGGCTCAATTTGACAAAATAATTTATTTGGCGGACAGTGCACCCCAAATCATCAGAGCAAACATCGGTCAGGAGAGAGGCCATGGTACAGAGAAGGGGCCACTGTAGTCCTTCTCTGTAGGGCTAGGTTTGAAATAACAGCGTTGTAGGTCTCAAAGGACAAAAAGCAAAATTAAGGTATCGTGCAGGTACTAACACAGTAATAGAGACAAAAACATTTCCACGTTTTTGGATAAAGTTCCAATTGAACATTGACTACAGTTTTGGGGGGAAAAACAAATGTATTGCTAAGGGGAATGGATTCTTTTCTTGAATAAAATTCTTGTAAATTTACTTCACTGGGGTACAGAATAGTGTTCCTCAATTTGTGCTGATAGGAAATGTCTTGGCTCACAGGCAATACGAAAACAGTCGGTGGGGTGGGCCTTGGGTCTATACCAGTTTCAGATACACAAAGCATGGTTTCAATATTTAAGCATCCCTGGAGCTTCTTGCTAAAGTTGCAGAAGAGAAAACAGAGAGAGAGAAGCCTTACATTTGGAACAGGTACTTTTGCACTCTTTGCATTCTTATGACCATATATGTATAAAGCCAAGAGTCCACAAAGTATTGGAATGAATTACTGTACAATCACTGAGAAATTCCTCAATTTTGCCAAAATAATTCAACTTACAAAAACCACCAGTATTTATCTGTACCAGCAAAGACTCATGATAATAGCTACTTGTTAATAAAACCAACACCCTTTTCATGCAGATGGTGCCCACATGGAAAAGGAAGCTCCTGCCTCTTCCAAAGCCAAAGCCAAAGCCAAAGCCAAAGCAAAGGATTTGATCTCAAGATAGCAGGGTTGAAAGGCACAAAAAGCCACACACAAAAAAGGTATGCAAGACACCAACCTTTCCATGGTCAAACACTATGGCTCAGGGGCAGCCTTATGTCCACCTCAGGAGACACAAGTTTGACCACTCTGCTATCGTCCTGTCCCCCTGTCCACCAAGGGAGGCATGAAGAAGAGGGAAGAAACGGCACACTTGTGTTCACTGTGGGTGTCAAGGCCAACAAGCACCAGGCCAAACAGCCTGTGAGGAAGCTCTAGGACATGGATGTGGCCAAGTCCCACAACCTCCTCAGGCCTCATGGAGCGAACAAGGCACATGTTCACCTGCCTTCCCCATGGGATCATTTGGAAGTAGCCAACAAAATTGGAATCCTCTCAACTGAGTCTAGCTGGCCAATTCTAAACATAAATATTCTACACCGTGAAACCAACATACTGCTGAAAGTACATAGTAATTAAAAACCAAGAATACACAAGAAAACCACCAAGGGGAAAATTGTGAAACTCTGAGAAAGGAGACAGAAGATGATCTGAGTACGCAGACAGATACCGGGCTCATTGGTTTTGGTCCAGGGACTGCAAGTCAGACCTCTGACCTTGAGAATTGCAAGATAATAAACTCGCTGTTGTGGCCTCTAGGTTTCAGGTTACTGGTTCCAGTGCAATGAAGAAATTAATGCAGGGCCCATTTCTCCCATCCAGCTGAAGGCCAAGACCAGAGCTTCCTCACTGTATTTTGGATGCACAAGCAAAGTGAACACTCAGATGGAACTGAGCACATGTGACCAGGTGAGGAATCCTGTTCACAGTGGCCTGCCTTTGAGATTTATCCTGGCATGCTCTTTATAACAGGTTTGTTTCTCTTTCTTCAACCAGCTACACTTATTCCAATCTCAGAATGTTTTGATGCAAAGCTAGGAAATAGTAGGGTGATACAGAATTTAAAAAAAGAAAAGACTTAGCATTTAATTGTCATAGTGAGAAAGGCGAAATGGGACTTGACTGTGAACTTGGCCCCCCAACCCTGAGCAAGGTACACCAAAAAGTGGTAACATCACTCCCATTGAAGGTTGTTTTCACCATAACTTTCATTTGATACCTGGTTTTATTCTATATCGTACAAAATCAAAATGCAGGTTTGAAATTCCATGTCTTTCTCCATGTTTGTCTCTTTTTTATCTTTTTTTTTTTTATCGCCCACTCCCTCGCTTGTCTATCCACACACGGATGCGAGACCACAGTCAACCCGCAGCCCTGCTCCCTTGCTGTTTCCCCGCGGTCACTCGCTGAGTTGCCCACCAGGTACAACCCTGCGCCTGGATTCCGCGCACGTGGGTTCGTCTGACGGAGTTTTCCTGTGCAACCCCGCTCCTCCAGCTCCTGGTTTCGCCCCTCTTACCGGTCAGGCTGAAGAATTTGTTGTTATCAGACTTCCGAAAAGTTCAATTTTCTGTGTTCTGGCTGTGTTTTCTGTTGCTAATATTTAGTTGTCTCTAAACTTGGTTGTGTGAGGAAGCACTGCGTCACCACCTATGCTTCCATCTTGGTGGAAGTCCCCTCCATGTTTGTCTTTACATGAAATAATCACTGACATGGGTTGATTGGAAGAAGACAGGGGAATAAGGGGTGCCAGCCCTCATGTCTCCATGGAAACACCTATTTAACAACCACTCGTGGGTGAGAATACCTCACAGTGTTGGGGAGTATGGGATACAACTGAGAGGCCCCACCACCCAGGTGAAGCTAAACAGTCCAAGGCATTGATGCACTGAAGAAGGTGAGAACAAGCCCTGCTGGTGTGGCTCAATGGACTGAGTGGCAGCCTATGAACCAAAGGTCTGCCAGTTTGATACCCAGTCAGTGCACATGACTGGTTGCAAGCCAGCTCCCCAGTGGAGTACATAAGGCGCTATCACGCATTCATGTTTCTCTTCCTCTCTTTTTCCCTCCCTTACTCTCTTCCAAAATAAAAACAAAATCTTTTTTAAAAGCAAGAAGGTTAGGAAGGACAGTTTCCCTTCACCAAAGTCACCCCTCCCAAGGTAACACAGCACTGGCATCTCTGGCAGCCTGTTACAAAGCAGAGTCTCAGACACCGCTAAGACCTGCTAACTCAGAGCTCCCAGTTCATCAGGTCCCAGGGGATTTCTGTACCTGTTCTGAGAAGCACAACAGACTGCATGACAGGAATCCATAAGTGATATTTCCCATTTCTCTGTATTAATTACCATTCATGTAAATGCAGTCATACTGCATGTATCGGTTCCTCAACAATTGTTCTGAGATCAAGCCATGCCAATATAGATCTAGGACACCCCCTTTAACTTGTTCAGGGAAACTCACATTCATGTTACTGATAATAAAATCTGTCAGGAAATAAATGTATCAATGGCATTGACATAGTGAAATCATGTACAAATGACCCTTGGGCTGAGGGTGGGGGGGAATGTCTTCACCATGGGAATCAATCACCATTTCTGGCTTTAAGACTAAATGTTACATAACAGGACAAAACAATGTTTTTCAGTCCTGTGTCTCCCATGTCACTGAGAACACTCAAAGTAGCCTAGCCCAGCAAGGATACTGTTACATGAACAGGGAATCTGTACAGAATGGGAAGGGTCCTTCACCCCAACTTCAACTGAACTGCATATTCTTAATGCATTTAGGGACACTAGCAGCTCACCAGACATGTGCACAGTAGACACCAGCAGTAGAAAGGGAGGTTTTCCGACACCCACTCCCTCCCAGCACGGGAGTGTGGAGAAGCCACAAGAGGAGGCTGGGCCCTGACCCCTGACACACAGAGTCAGCCTCTGAGCATCTATCTCTCAGTGCCACCCAGAGAAGGCCAATTCTGGGGTGAATTCTCCCCTCGAATTGGGGAGAATTCCCCAAAAGCTCTCATGGAGGAAACTGTGGGGAAGCTCACAGTAGCTTTCTTGGGTCACAAAGAAACAGGCCAGTCAAAGGGCAGGCAGTGCTCACAGGGATGGAGAACGACAGCAGAGGTGGGAGAATCCTGAAACCCAGGAAGCTTCTGAGAGGCTAGAGGACCATATGGGGAAAGGGCCAAGGAGCCCCTCATGGGCCTGCTGGCAGCTCTTACTCTCTCACATACACAAACACAGTCACACAGCTAACTGCAAGATACATGATTTATTGACCAGGGAGAAGAAAGCATTATTATTCATGGTGGACTACTCCTGGGTATGCCTTAGGGGGGTGGAAATTTTGAGACAACTGTTGATTCTTGGTGAGTTGATGAGTCTTTTCTAGACACATAGAGAAGGTGCTGAAGATTGAGAGAAAACGCCTTCCTGGATGACAGTGCTGGAAATCAGGTCACAAAACTTGTCACACGATGGCATGGGGACCATGGAAGGAAGCACTCACTCTGCACTAAATGAGCACATGAGAGAAAGCACCCAGAAACTCATTAGCACTTCCTGGATTGAACTGGGGACAAACAGAGGTGCCAGGACAGAGAATAATGGTGAAGATGGAGCTAACAGCTTGCCCTCTAACCCAGGCTACTTGCCAGAACAGAGGGAAAGGGGGCACTGGGACACTGATTTTTCTCTTTCTATTGCTGTTGCATCTTACCCTTCCCTACACTGAGTATGTGAAAAACAGAGAGGACTCAGTGGAGGACCCCAGGCTGGTTTCTGCCATCCTCAGCATGAAAGGTTTTGCAGAAGTTTCCATAAGTTGAGAAAGAACAGCAACAACCATAGTTTTCATTATTAAATGCTGGCTTAATGCTGAGACTTTCCCAAATGTTAGCTGAATAAAGCCCCACAATATGGCTCAGGGAGGAAACACTTCAAGAAATTCAGAGCTATATTTCAGGTGCAGGACAAAGGGAAGGTCAGACAGCTGGACTTACAGGTCAGAGTTAAGGATGTGCAGATATCAAAGGAAGACAATAGTGCCAGAAATTGGAGGGTGAGACCAAAGATTCTGGCCTTGGAAGATGGACAAAACCCAGAAGTGTATTTGAGTTTCACACTCACAGCCTGCTACTCTTGCCCTATTTCACATGCTAAGTGTTAATGATTTTAGGACACTATCAATTCCTGAGGCCTTTTTAGCAGCAGGATATGCACACAGTGACCCTGTGAGGTGCCCATGGTTGTCTCTTCCTCTCAATCCTGAGGTCATTTGCTCTAAAGCTCATGAAGGGGTGGCTCCTGAACCAGAACCCCCAACTCCAAATTTCAAGCTCAGCCCACAAGCTTCCTCATCAAATGTGTCATTGTAAATATTGGGCACCACACCCTGCTGGTTTTGGAGGGCAGTGACATCTGGGCCACCCCTGCTCTTCAGACAGCACCCACCTGGAGCTCTGGGATCCATGGTTCCCTCGGGTCTGGATACAGGGGTCTGCAGAGGCAGAACAGGACACAGTCAACCAGCAGCCTCTTATTGCCCAGAGAGAAACCAAATAAGTTTCTAAGGTAGGACAGAGGGGATCCATTGGAGGTATTCCCTGCTTTTGCTTTTCTCCAATCAGTAACACTAGGACTTAGGTAGAGAGAACCACAGAGAGGTAAACTTACCAGCATTGCTCACATCCACTATATTTTCTGTTGGGATTCCATACTTTTCACAATTTTTCTCAAATGCTTTCCTGAGTCGTGGAGTCACATCCAGGTTTCTGGCTGTGCGAAGATTGACAATGAGTTCTGTGAATTTGTGTTGGTCATGGAGGCTCTTGGGACATGTGGGACAGATGATGGGGATGGATGGCACTGAGTCCTGCTTAGGCAGAAGTGAGGGAGGGGCTGTCAACTATCCTAATTTTGAGATTTTTAGGAAGTCCTTATGCATGGTGAGAGATTTTGTCACCTTCCCATCACTGCCAAACCTGTGGGTTACCCATGGTAAGTACTTCTCTTCCAGGGAGGACAAATGGTTGAGAAGAAGATTGGGAGAAATTTTTATCTGCATCCCACTCCAAGGTGAGTATCAGCATGAGAATACTTTACCGTTCAGCACGATAATATTGGTTGTTTTCTCATGATCAAAATTCAAGACATAAAGAATAAGATATTCATCGTAAACTGCTTCAGCTATTTGTATGCTATTCTGTCCATCATCTGTGGAGGAAACAGAACACAGGTAAGAACTTCTTAGGTCCATGGGAAGCAAGTGAAACTCTCTACCTATTCTCTTTTACAAAACAAATTCAAGTGCATATTCTGGAAGAGATAAAAGTGATATCTAAGCCTTCCATTTGCTCCCTGGGCTTTCTCTGGTGACTTCCAAGGATGGAAATAACAACCCATTGTACCCTGATTCCTAGTAGTAGGATTCAGGCAGAGCTGCAACTGTCCTACTATTACTTCTTCTGAAGCTCACCAATCTCCCTCAGCCATTTCTGCCATGTATGTGTCTCTGTTGTGTCTGGGAACCCCCCTGGAATTACATACTAGCGCCCTGTCTGGCTCAGGTGCTGTAGCAATGGCCACCAGGAGCCGTCACAGTGGATGTGGAATCAGAAGCTCTCCAGCAATTTAATTTTTGTGGGCCAGTTTTCTTTTGTTACAGGTGGTACACATGACCTCACTGTCATCTTGTTTTCATGATCTTATGTGCCAGGCCTTGGCTTTACAAACCAGGTTCCTTAAATATTAGAAAGCTTTGGCTATTACATGCCTCATGTGGAGGACCTAAACAGCATGAGCCAGAAATGGATTGATCCTAAAGACTTTGGGATTTAGTACATTTCTTGCAGTTGGAAGTAGAATTTACAAAGACGTTTTTAAATGTGTACTTACAGGGAACATCATATACACCCTTCTCTTCTTTTTCATCAGGAACAAAAAAAAGTGCAGTGCACTCTCCGTTGATCCTGTGAAACACAATGAGCTGAGTGGTGCCTGTGAGATACAGAGTGGCTGGCTCCCCTCCACTCCACCTATAACCTGAGTGTCCCATTTCAATGAACTATTGAAAATCTTTTGTAAACCTTTGAATGAACCTCTATTTTCCTCATTCACTTTACTTGCTACTGTAAGAATGAGTCAATCACTACTATCTCTATTCCTCTACCACCACTTCCCACTATCCCTACTCCTCCAGCTACCTGTCTAGATACTTGACTGAGGGCTCAGATGAGCCAGCATCTCAAATAAATGCTGTACAAACATTGCCTCACTCAGCCCTCACACAGAAAACAAACAAACAAACTCTCAGAGGTGAGTATTATGATCATCTTTCTTTACCCAAGAGATAATTGGTGTGGCAAGAGATTAAATTTCTTTGTCACACAACTAGTAAGAGGTAGTTTCACTACAGAGCCAAGCTTTTCATCCCCATGCTACCCTCTTACTGAAACTACATTGTCCCACTGCTTCTGACTCAGACCCCTCTGCCCCTACCTCCGCTACTCCCATCTAAACCATTCCTGTCAGCATTCTTACCTCTGAATCAAGACAACCTTCAGGTTCCTCAAGTGGAGGATCTGTGTCTGATAAGGGCTGCTGTTTGGGACACAGACCCACAATGTAAGTGGGCACAGAAATGTTCATGAATGTGTGTTTGTGTTGTGTTTGTGTTCAAAGCTCCAAGACCATATTCAGCTTCTTTCCCCAAGTAAAAAGGCCACACTTACTTCTTATTATACTTAAGTAACAGAGAAGAGTTATCAAAGACCCAGATGTATTCGATAAACGATCTGAAGCTACCATTTTCTTCTATCTTTTCCATCGAGTCTGCAGCCAAGAGAACAGTATACCACTCCCCGGAAATCTGCAAATAATCAGTAAAATGTTTGGGAGAGAAAAGAAGAGACGGGACACTGTATGCACCCTGTTTCCTTGAGCTCTGGCTCAGGTCAATTGGCACCCCATGTAGGGCTCTTTCCACTGTCCCTGTGCTGAGAACAGAAGTCCCAGAGTGTTGTTATCTTTCCACGTGCTACAACTGCTCTGGGTCCAAGGACAGAAATCAACCTTTTGGTCTAACATCAAAACCTCTGGCCCTGTGGCAGGGCCACCTCCCCTCAGATCCCCCAAAATGCCCCTAAATTCTAAACTCCCTATGCTACCCTGACTCTACCTTTGCCATATCAAAGTTGCTTGTCACCACATCATGCTTCTCTTGACCATGGGCACAGAGCAGGGTCAGCCCCAGGCACAGTAGCAGCAGCTTCATCTTGGGAGGGATGACACTGACTCAGTGATGGTCACTGGGAGTGAGTCTTTTCATGAATGTAGCTCTGCAATCCAGCGTCTCTGCCTTTATATTCATTCTGGGTCCAGTGTTCTGTCCATGGGGCCCCACCTTTCCCCTCCCCTCCTACTCCCCAGATGCTCTGTGTCACTGATGGAAGGCCAACACTGTTCCTGCACATCTCATCTCTTCTGGATTTACTTAGTGACCCGAAATTACTCAAAACACACACTCAAAAAAATGATATAGGTGCCATGAAAGGCTGCCATTTGGAACCAGATTTAACCTTGAAATCAGAAAGTTAATTATGTGTGGCAAGAATGGACAGTACTAGGAACTGGGGTGTGTGGACAACCCAGCTCCCACAGCTCACGTGCTGGGAGGCCGTGGGTGAGTCACTCCATCATAACCAGCGTCAGAAACAAAGAAACTGTGTGTACCAAAGATGACAGTACCTGTCAAGAATCATTCTAACAGTGCCAATTAGAATAGGCATGGGTAAAATAATATATGGAAGGTACAGTGTATTCTATTGAGCACATTTTAACTCCTTTTCCTCTTTGTCTGAATTTAAGAACAATGAAGGAACTAATGTTTAGTCACTACCTACACCTCATCATATTCCATAGGTCTCTGAAAGAAGTGGAGAGGTGGAAGATGTTGTCCATACATACACTTCTGTCTACAAGCTGATGCAGGAACCCACCTGGTTGGGACCAAATCTGGATCACTTTGGGTAAGAAAAGAAGGTGCTGTCTGGGAGGTGACATCACATAGAATGTACTTACAAACACAGGCATTGGATTCACATAGACCTGGACTTCATTTCTATCTCTGTCCCTTGTATGCCATGAGGTCAAATTTAACCTCTCAGAGCTTTAGTGTCCTATTAATTGGGACAACCATACCTGTATATAAATCAATATAAGGACACGATGGGACAGTGTGTGTACAACCTTCAAACCAATTTCTGGCACTGCTGGGCTGGTAGGGTGTATTCCAGGAGAGAATTACTCTTGGGAAGGTCAGTCTTGGGGACAGGCAGGGGTCTTGAAGTATAGGCTGTGAGTGTGGTTGTGGAGAACATGTGGGGAGGGGCTTCCTAGTGAGAAGAATGTTGTGATTGAGGCTCCTCTGCCCATAGCTGAGGCTTCTTAAAAGCTAGGGCTCATTTCTGCCTTGCGCTGATAGGTTTTTTTGACACCCCCAACTCACAAAGAGGCCTGCGTCACAGGAGGAAATGGGCACACAGCTGTGAACCTAGAAATTGTGAAATCCCATCTGTGGCCTGCTTTCAAAGTCCTCCAAACCCCTTGTGTGATCCTGCCTAGTTCATGCTCAACAGATACATGGTCACTGGTATTTTGAGGTCCATATAACCTGAGACAACATGGACAGGACAGAGGTTGTCTGACCTCTGAGATAGAGGAACTGAGCTTGAAAAATTCTGGCAAAGCATATGCACGGCACTGTGTCATGTTGATTGTGTCCAAGAACAGATGGCACACTATGAGCAACCAGGGTTGCAAGATGAACTGGGCTATGATGCTGAGGGGTTGGCCATGTGCTGTTTTTGCCCTCATGGTCTCTGTCCCATTCTATATTCCTCCTGACTCTGCACCCATATCAGAGGGCCATATTGCAACATTCTGCTTCCAGGCAGTCCCACTGTGTGCTCAATGAAACAATGAGAAATATGCTGGTAGCTCCAGGACCATGGACCCAAGAAGACAAGTAAAACTAGCAATTCAAAGTGTTGTTCATCAGGTACGCTGGTGTGGGGAAGAGTAATATGCTTGACTACTTTGCGCACAACGAGTTCAACCTAGAGAACCAGAACACTATTGGCGTGGAGTTTGCCTCCTGAGCATCCAAGTAAATGGCAAGACCATCAAGGCCCAGACCTGGGAAAGAGCTGCCCACAACCACAACAGCACCTTCACCTCTGCATACCACTGGGGGGCAGTGGGTGTGCTGCTGGTATATGACATCCCCAGCACCTGACAGACAAGAATGAGGGGTGCTGGCTGAAGGAGCTGGGGGACCACACTGAGAACAACATTGTAATCATGCTGGTGGGCAACAAGAGTGACCTGTGTCTTCTGTGGGCCGAGCCCACTGACTAGGCTTCTTCCTTAGCAGAGAACAACTTAACGTGCATCCAGACCTCAGGCTTGAAGTTCAACACTGTAGAGGAAGCTACAAACATCAAGAAAGACACAAACAAATGGAAAACTATACCGTGTTCATGGATCGGAAGAATTAACATCATCAAAATGTCCATACTACCTAAAGCAATTTACAGATTCAATGCAATACCTACTAAAGTACCAATGACATACTTCACAGACATAGAACAAACACTTCAAAAATTTATATGGAACCATAAACGACCCCAAATAGCAACTGCAAATTTGAGAAAGAAGAACAAAGTAGGAGGGATCACAATACCTGATATCAAACTGTATTACAAGGCCACTGTATTCAAAACAGCCTGGTACTAGCATAAAAACAGGCACATAGACCAATGGAAAGAAACAGAGAGCCCAGAAATCAACCCAACTCTCTATGGCCAGTTAATATTTGACAAAGAAGGCAGCAACATAAAATGGAGTAAAGATAGCCTCTTCAATAAATGGTGTTAGGAGAACTGGACAGCTACATGCAAAAAAATAAACTTGAGCACCAACTTACACCATACACCAAAATAAATTCAAGGTGGATAAAAGACTTAAATATAAGCCGTGACACCATTATAGTCCCTGAGGAGAACATTGGCAGGAAAATGTCATATATTTCACGCAGCAACTTTTTTACTGATATGGCCCCTAGAGCAAGAAACATAAAGGAAAGAATAAACAAATGGAATCGCATCAAAATTAAAAGCTTTTGCACAGCTAAAGAAAATAGTATTAAAATAAAAAGACAACCAACTGTATGGGAAAACATATTTGCCAATGATACCTTAGACAAAGGTTTAATCTCCAATATATACAAAGAACTTATATGACTTCACTCCAAGGAGACAAGTGACCTAATTAAAAAGTGGGCAAAGGACTTGAACAGACATTTCTCCAAGGAGGTCATACAGAAGATCCAGAGACACATGAAAAGATGCTCGATATCACTAGCTACCAGAGAGATGCAAATTAAAACCACAATGAGATACCACTTTACACCACTCAGAATGGCCAACATAAACAAAGCAACAAAAACAAGTGTTGGAGAACTTGAGGAGAAGAAGGGACCCTAATCCATTGTTGGTGGCATTGCACACTTGTACAACCACTGTGGAAAAGAGTATGGAATTTTCTCAAAAAACTAAAAATGGACCTGCGCTTTGACCCAGCAATTCCACTGCTGGGATTATATCCTAAGAACCCTAAAACATCAGTCCAATAGAACCTATGCACCCCAATATTCATAACAGCACAATTTACAATAGCCAAGAGCTGGAAGCAACCTAGGTGCCTGTCAGTAAATGAATAGATCAAAAAATTATGGTAAATATACACAATGAAATTCTATGCAGCAGAAAGAAAGAAGGAACTCCTACCCTTTGCAACAGCATGGATGGAACTGGAAAGCATTATGCTGAGTGAAATAAGCCAGGTGTTGAAAGACAAATACCATATGATCTCACCTTTAACAAGAAGCTAAACAACAAAACAAACACGCAAGCAAAATAAAAACAAAGATACTGAAATAGAGAACAGGGGGACAGTGAGTAGAGGGGAGAGGGGAGGAAATTTTAGGAGGAAAAAAGAAGGATTTACAGGTACTAGTATATATAGGACACATGTACAACAACTAAGAAGGGTAAAAATGGAGGGAGGTGGGGAGCACTGGGAAGGGGGTGGGCTGAGATAGGAGTAAAAAACAGAAAACTGTACTTGATCCATTAGAACAGGGGGACAGTGACCAGAGGGGAGAGAGAAGGGAATTTAAGGGTGAAAAATGGGAGGGATTTGGAGGAACAAGTATGAAGGACACAAGGATGAGGGCTGGAGGGGGGGGGAGGAAATGAAAGGGTGGTGGGGAGCACGGGGCCAGGGGGGCTGGGATGGGAGAAATAGACAAAAAACTGTACTTGAAAAATAACTAAATAAAATTTTTTAAAAAAGAAAACTGTACCTGAACAATAACTAAATAAAAAAAATAAGGAGAGGCTAAGGAACATATAGGACATCCATAAACATTCTGACCTCATAATAATACCAGTGCCACAAAAAGAAAAGGAAGAGCAAGAATCAAAAACTTATTTGAGAAAATAATCAAGGAGAAATTGCCCAATCTGGTAAAGGAAATAGACTTCCAGGAAGTCCAAGATGTGGGAGAGTCCCCAAAAACTTGGACCCAAGGAAACACACATCAAGGCAATCATAATTACATTCCCCAAGATTAAAGAGAAGGAGAGAGTCTTAAAAAGCAGCAAGGGAAAAGGAGACAGTTACCCACAAAGGAGTTCCCACAAGCCTAACAGCTGATTTCTCAAAAGACACCTAACAGGCAAGAAGGGGCTGGAAAGAAATATTCAATAGTCATGAAAGGCAAGGATCTACATCCAACATTGTGCTATCCAACAAAGCCATGCTTCATAATAGAAGAAGAGATAAGATGCTTCCCACATAAGCTGAACTTAAAGGAGTTCATCATTACCAAGCCTTTATTATATGAAATGTTAAAGGGACCTATTTAAGAAAAAGAACAAGTTCAAAACTATGAACATTAAAATGACAACAAGCTCACAACTATCAATAAACAAACCTAAAAAAAAAAACCCGAACTAAGCAAAAACCTAGATTAGCAACAGAATCATAGCTATAGAGATCACATGGAGGATTATCAGAGAAAAAGAGGAAAAGGCGATAGGAAGGAAGTACAGGGAATAAGTAGCATAAGTGGTAGGTAGAAAACAGACAAGGGGGAGTTTAAGAATACTATAAAAAATGGAGAAGCCAAACAACTTAAATGTACAACCCATGGACATAAACTAAAGAGGAAGGGAATGTGGGTGGTAGGGAGTGTGGAGGGCAGAGGGGAAGAAAGAGGGGTAATGGGAAAAATAAATTAGTACAGCAATAAAATGTATTTCTTTAAAAAAAAAAACAACAGCTGGTATTTTCATGATTGGCCTGCTTCCAGGAGCAAACATGTTCATGTCAAGTGCATCTGGGATCAGAGACTAGGCAGGCAGAGTGTGTGAAGCTGGGAAGGGAGATCTGGAGTGTCCCTTGTTGCCCTTAAAATGCCAAATGACATCAGGGTGTCCTGGTTTGACATTTACACTGGAAGTTTATTTGGCATTAATCTATGTTTCCTCCATTCACATGGAAGTCATTCAAGGAGAGCAGCAAGATGGACACTTCAAAACACTTCCTGAGCCCTGACCAGTGTGGCTCTGTTGCTTGGTTGTCACACAGCAAAGGTCACTGGATTGATTCCCAGTCAGGGCACGTGCTTGGGTTGCAGGATCCTTTCCAAGTCAGGATGCATATGAGAGTCAACTGATCCATGTTTCTCCCTCACATCGATGGGTCTCTCTCTCACCTTCTCCCTCTCTTCTGCTTTATCTAAATATAAATTAATACAGTCATTAAAAAACAGTGTCGCCTGAATCTCACACTTACATACTTTCATGGTCATTTTATGGAGGGCATTCTGAGGGGCTCAATTTGACAAAATCACATATTTGGCGGACAGTGCACCCCAAATCATCAGAGCAAACATTGGTCAGGAGAGAGGCCATGGTACAGAGAAGGGGCCACTGTAGTCCTTCTCTGTAGGGCTAGGTTTGAAATAACAGCGTTGTAGGTCTCAAAGGACAAAAAGCAAAATTAAGGTATCGTGCAGGTACTAACACAGTAATACAGACAAAAACATTTCCACGTTTTTGGATAAAGTTCCAATTTGACATTGACTACAATTTGGGGGGGAAATACAAATGTATTGCTAAGAGGAATGGATTCTGTTCTTGAATAAAATTCTTGTAAATTTACTTCACTGGGGCGCAGAATAGTGTTCCTCAATTCGTATTGATAGCAAATGTCTTGGCAAACAGGCAATACAAAAATAGTCAGTGGGGTGGACCTCGGTTCTATACCAATTTCAGGTACACAAAGCATGGTTTCAATATTTAAGCATCCCTGGAGCTTCTTGCTAAAGTTGCAGAAGAGAAAACAGAGAGAGAGAAGCCTTACATTTGGAACAGGTACTTTTGCACTCTTTGCATTCTTATGACCATATATGTATAAAGCCTAGAGTCCACAAAGTATTGGAATGAATTACTGTACTATCACTGAGAAATTCCTCAATTTTGCCAAAATAATTCAACTGACAAAAATCACTAGCATTTCTCTATACCAGCAAAGACTCATGATAATAACTACTTGTTAATAAAACCAACACCCTTTTCATGCAGATGGTGCCCACATGGAAAAGGAAGCTCCTGCCTCTTCCAAAGCCAAAGCCAAAGCCAAAACCAGAGCAAAGGCTTTGATCTCAAAGATAGCAGGGTTGAAAGGCACAAAAAGCCACACACAAAAAAGATATGCAAGACACCAACCTTTCCATGGTCAAACACTATGGCTCAGGGGCAGCCTTATGTCCACCCCAGGAGACACAAGTTTGACCACTCTGCCATCATCCTGTCCCCCTGTCCACCAAGGGAGGCATGAAGAAGAGGGAAGAAACGGCACACTTGTGTTCACCGTGGGTGTCAAGGCCAACAAGCAGCAGGCCAAACAGGCTGTGAGGAAGCTCTAGGACATGGATGTGGCCAAGTCCCAAAACCTGCTCAGGTTTCATGGAGAGAACACGGCACATGTTCACCTGCCTTCCCCATGGGATCATTTGGATGTTGCCAACAAAATTGGAATCCTCTCAACTGAGTCCAGCTGGCTAATTCTAAATATAAATATTCTATACCATGAGACAAACAAACTGCTGAAAGTACATATAGTAATTAAAAACCTAGAATACACCAGAAAACCACCAAGGGGAAATTGTGAAACTCTGAGAAAGGAGACAGAAGATGATCTGAGTACGCAGACAGACACCGGGCTCACTGGTTTTGGTCCAGGGACTGCAAGTCAGACCTCTGACCTTGAGAATTGCAAGATAATAAACTCGCTGTTGTGGCCTCTAGGTTTCAGTTTACTGGTTCCAGTGCCATGAAGAAAGTAATGCGGGACCCATTTCTCCCATCCAGCTGAAGGCCAAGACCAGAGCTTCCTCACTGTATTTTGGATGCACAAGCAAAGTGAACTCTCAGATCGAACTGAGCACATGTGAACAGGTGAGGGATCACATTCACAGTGGCCTGCCTTTGAGATTTATCCTGGCATGCTCTTTACAACAGGTTTGTTTCTCTTTCTTCAACCAGCTCCACTTATTCCAATCCTCCGAATGTTTTGATGCAAAGCTAGGAGATAGTAGCGTGATACAGAACTAAAAAAATATAGGAAAGAAAAAGACTTAGCATTTAATTGTCATAGTGGGAAAGGCCAAATGGGACTTGACTGTGAACTTGGCCCTCTAGTCCATGAGCAAAGTGCCCCAGGAAGCAGTAACATCATTCCCATTGAAGGTTGTTTTCACCATAACTTTCATTTGATACTTTGTCTTATTCTATAGCCTACAAAATTAAAATACAGGTTTGGAACTGAATGTCTTTCTCTATGTTTGTCTTTACATGAAATAATCACCGACTTGAGTTGACCAGAACAAGACAGGGGAATAAGAGGTGCCAGCCCTCATGTCTCCATGGAAACATCTATTTTAACAACCACTTGTGGGTGAGAATACCACACAGTGTGGGGGAGTATGGGATACAACTGAGAGGCCCCACCACCCAGGTGAAGCTAGACAGTCCAAGGCATTGATGCACTGAAGAAGGTGAGAACAAGCCCTGCTGGTGTGGCTCAGTGAATTGAGTGGCAGCCTATGAACCAAAGGTCTGCCAGTTTGATACCCAGTCAGCGCACATGACTGGTTGCAAGCCAGGTCCCCAGTGGGGTACATAAGAGGCTACCATGCATTCACGTTTCTCTTCCTCTCTTTCTCCCTCCCTTACCCTCTTCCTAAAAATAAATAAAATCTTTTTTAAAAGCAAGAAGGTTAGGAAGGACAGTTTCCCTTCACCAAAGTCACCCCTCCCAAGGTAACACAGCACTGGCGTCTCTGGCAGCCTGTTAGGAAGCAGAGTCTCAGACACCACAAAGACCTGCTAACTCAGAGCTCCCAGTTCATCAAGGTCCCAGGGGATTTCTGTGCCCATTCTGAGAAGCACCACAGACTGCATGAGAGGAATCCAGAAGTGACATTTCCCATTGTTCTCTGTGTTAATTTCCATTTACGTGAATGGGGTCATCTGCATGTACCTGTTCTTCAACAAGTAGTTTCTGAGATCACACCTTGCTAATATAGATACAGTACATTCTTGTTAACTTGTTGAGAGAAATTCACCTTTATGTTGCTAATAATGAAATCTGTTTGGAAATCAACCATCAGTGGCATGGACATGGTGAAATCTGGCACAAATGACGCTGAGCTGGGAGGGGGTGAATGTTCTTCCCAAGGAAAATCAGTCACCATTTATTGCTTTAAACTAACTGTCACATACCCAGGAGAAAACAATGTTTTTCAAGTCCTGTGTCTTCCATGTCACTGAGAACACTCAAAGTAGCCTAGCCCAGCAAGGGTACTGTTACATGAACAGGTCACCTGTACTAAATGGGAAGGGTCCTTCACCCAAATTTGAATTGAACTTTATATTCTTAATATATTTAGGGCCGCTTGCATCTCACAGAAGATGTGCACAGTAGATACCACTGGAGGGGAGTGAGGTTTTCCAACACCCACTCCCTCCCAGGGTGCAGGTGCACAGAAGGGACAAGAGGAGGTCGGGGTCTGACACCTGGCACACAAGGTCAGCCTCAGAGCATCTACCTGTCAGTGCCACTCTGAGGAGAAGAATTCCAGGATGGGGCAAAGTGTGGAGCAGCTCGTAGTTGCCTTTCTCGGGTCACAAAGAAACAGGCCAGTCAAAGGGCAGGCAGTGCTCACAGGGATGGAGAACGACAGCAGAGGTGGGAGAATCCTGAAACCCAGGAAGCTTCTGAGAGGCTAGAGGACCATATGGGGAAAGGGCCAAGGAGCCCCTCATGGGCCTGCTGGCAGCTCTTACTCTCTCACATACACAAAACAGTCACACAACTAACTGCAAGATACATGATTTATTGACCAGGGAGAAGAAAGCATTATTATTCATGGTGGACTACTCCTGGGTATGCCTTAGGGAGGTGGAAATTTTGAGACAACTGTTGATTCTTGGTGAGTTGATGAGTCTTTTCTAGACACATAGAGAAGGTGCTGAAGATTGAGAGAAAACGCCTTCCTGGATGACAGTGCTGGAAATCAGGTCACAGAACTTGTCACACGATGTCATGGGGACCATGGAAGGAAGCACTCACTCTGCACTAAATGAGCACATGAGAGAGAGCACCCAGAAACTCATTAGCACTTCCTGGATTGAACTGGGGACAAACAGAGGTGCCAGGACAGAGAATAATGGTGAAGATGGAGCTAACAGCCTGCCCTCTAACCCAAGCTACTTGCCAGAACAGAGGGAAAGGGGGCACTGGGACACTGATTTTTCTCTTTCTATTGCTGTTGCATCTTACCCTTCCCTACACCGAGTCTGTGAAACACAGAGAGGACTCAGTGGAGGACCCCAGGCTGGTTTCTGCCATCCTCAGCAGGTTTTCCAGAAGTTTTGTTGAGTAAGAAAGAACGGCAACAACCGTAGTTTCTGTTATTAAATGCTGGCCTCACGCAAGCCATATGGCTGAGACTTTCCCAAATGTTAGGTGAATAAAGCCCCACAATATGGCTCAGGGAGGAAACACTTCAGGAAATTCAGGGCCTATATTCCAGGTGCAGGACAAAGGGAAGGTCAGACAGCTGGCCTTCCAGGTCAGAAGTTAAGGATGTGCAGAGATCAAAGGAAGACAGTATTTTCAGAAATTGGAGGGTGAGACCAAAGATTCTGGCCTTGGAAGATGGACAAAACCCAGAAGTGTATTTGAGTTTCACACTCACAGCCTGCTACTCTTGCCCTATTTCACATGTTAAGTGTTAATGCTTTTAGGACACTATCAATTCCTGAGGCCTTTTCAGCAGCAGGATATGCACACAGTGGCCCTGTGAGGTGTCCATCATTGTTTCTTCCTTTCCATCCTCAGGTCATTTGCTCTAAAGTTCATAAATGTGTGGCTCCTGAACCAGAACCCCCAACTCCAAATTTCAAGCTCAGCCCACAAGCTTCCTCATCAAATGTGTCATTGTAAATATTGAGCACCACGCCCTACTGGGTTTGGAGGGCAGTGACATCTGGGCCACCTCCGCACCTCAGACAGCACCCACCTGGAGGCCTGGGCTCCATGGCTCCCTGGGGCCTGGGAACAGGGGTCTGCAGAGGCAGAACAGAACACAGTCAACAAGCATCCTCTTATTGCCCAGAGAGAAACCGAATGAGTTTCTAGGGTAGGACAGAGGGGACCCATTGGAGTTGTTCTCTGCTTTTGCTTTTCTCCAATCAGTAACACAAGGACTTAGGTAGAGAGAACCACAGAGAGGTAAACTTACCAGCATTGCTCACATCCATTATATTTTCTGTCGGGATTTCATACTGTTGAGAAAGTTCCTCAAACCTCTTCTTGATTTGTGGACTCACATCTCGGTTTTTGACTGTGGGAAGAGTGACAGTAAGGGCTGTGACTTTCTGTTGGACATGGAGGTCCTTGGGACACGGGGGACAGATGATGAGGATGGATGGCACTGAGTGCTGCTTAGCCAGAAGTGAGGGAGGGGCTATTGCCTGTCTTGACTCTGACATTTTTAGGATGTTCTTCTCAGGATGAGAGATTTCATCACCTTCCTATCACTGCCAAGCCTGTGGGTTACCCATGATCAGTACTTCTCTTCCGGGGAGGACAAATGGTTGAGAAGAAGATTGGGAGAAACTTTTATCTGCATCCCACTCCAAGGTGAGTATCAGCATGAGAATACTTTACCATTCAGCCCGATAACCTTGGTTGTTTTCTCATGACAAAAATTCAAGACATAAAAAATAAGATATTCATCGTAGACTGCTTCGGCTATTTGTACCCAATTGTATCCATCATCTGTGGAGGAAACAGAACACAGGTCAGAACTTCTTCGGTCCATGGGAAGCAAGTGAAACTCTTTACCTATTCTCTTTTACAAAACAAATTCAAGTGCATATTCTGGAAGAGGTAAATGTGATATCTAATCCTTTTGTTTGCTCCCAGGGCTTTCTCTGGTGACTTCCAAGGGTGGAAATGACAATCCCTGGTACCTGGATTCTTAGTGGTAGGAAATCCAGCCACAGCTGCAACTGTCCTACTATTACTTCCTCTGAGGCTCACCAACCTTCTTCAGCCATGTCTGCCATCTGTGTTTCTCTGTTCTGTCTGGAGCCCCACTGGTATTAGATACCAGCACCCTGTCCGGCCAAGTGCTGTAGTAATGGCCACCAGAAGCCATCAGGGTGGATGTGGAATCAGAAGCTCGCCAACAATTTAACTCTTTGTGGGCCAGTTTGGGGGTTTTTTGTTGCTGGTATTAAACATGACCACACTGCCATCTTATTTCATGGTCTTATGCACCTGGCTTTTACAAACAAGGTTCCCCCAAATATTACAGAATATTGGTGATTACATGCCTCATGTGGAGGACCTAAGCAGCATGAGCCATAAATGGAGCGATCCTAAAGACATTGGGATTTAGTAAATTTCTTGCAGTTGGAAGTAGAATTTACAAAGACTTTTTTAAATGTGTACTTACAGGGAGTACCATATACACCCTTCTTTTCTGTTTCCTCACAAATAAAAGTAAATTCAATGCACTCTCCGCTGATCCTGTGGACAGAGTGAGTGGTACACATGAGATACTGAGAAGTTGGCTCTCTCCCACTCCACCTATAACCTGAGTGTCCCCTTTCATGAAGTATTGAAAAACCTTTGGTAAAATGCTGAAAGAACTTATATTTTCCTCCTTTATTTGCTACTGTAAGAATGAGTCAACCACCAATATCTCTATTTCTCTACCACCACTACCCACTATCGCTACTGCTCCAGCTACCTGTCTAGATACTTGACTGAGGGCTCAGATGAGCCAGCATCTCAGATAAATGCTCTATGAATATTGCCTCACTCACCCTTCAGAAAAAAGAGCAAAAAAAAAAACTTATAGGAGAGAATTATGATAATCTTCTTTTACCCAAGAGATAACTGGGGTGGAAAAAGATCAAATTTGTAGGTCACACAACTAGTAAGAGGTAGTTTCACTACAGAGCCAGGCTCTTCATCCCCATGCTACCCTCTTACTGAGACTATATTGTCCCACTGCTTATGACTCAGACCCCTCTGCCCCTACCTCCTCTACTCCCATCTCAACCATTCCTGTCAGCATTCTTACCTCTGAATCAAGACAACCTTCAGGTATATCAAGTGGAGGATCAGTACCGGATAATGGCTGCTCTTTGGGACACAGGCCCACAAAGAAAGTGCACACCGGAATGTGCATGATTGTGTATTTCTATTGTGTGTATGTGTAAAGCTCCAAGACCATACCCAGCTTCCTTCCCCAAGTAAAAAGGCCATACTTACATTTTATGACATTTAATTAACAGAGAAGTGTTATCGAAGGCCTGAAAGCTTTCCATAAACATTCTCAAGCTACCTATTTCTTCTATCTTTTCCTTCACGTTCGAGGCCAAGAGAACAGTATACCACTCCCCGGAAATCTGCAAATAATCAGTAAAATGTTTGGGAGAGAAAAAAAGAGATGGAACACTGCATGAACCCTGTCCTCTTGAGCTCTGGCCCCTGGGCCAGGCCTCATGGTGGTGATGTGAAGATGGAATTAGAACTCAGGTTGATCGGCACCCCACACAGGGCTCTTTCCACTGTCCTGCAGTGAGAACAGAGGTCCCTAAGGGTATCAACTTTGCACATGCTACAACTGCTCTGGGTCATATGTCAGAACCACCCCTTTGTCTAACATCAAAAACCCTTGCTTTCCAAGAGGGCAGCCTGGCTTCAGTATCCCCCAAATGACCCGCAAAGTCTAAACTTCCTACGCTTCCCCAACTCTACCTTTGCCATGTCGAAGTTGCTTGTCACTACATCATGCTTCTCTTCATTGTGGGCACAGACCAGGGTCAGTCCCAGACACAGCAGCAGCAGCTTCATCTTGAGAGGGATGACACTGACTCAGGTACAGTCACTGGGAATGAGTCTTTCCCTGACGGTGTCTCTGCTGCCCACGCCTCTGCCTTTATATTCCTTCTGGGCCCAGTTTTCTGTCTGCCAGGCCCCACCTTTCCCCTCCCACTCCACTGATGTTCTGTCTGGTTGATGGGAGGTCAAGACTGTTCCTGCTCATCTCATCTTTTCCTGATCTACTTAGTGACCTGAAATTACTCAAAACACACACTCAAAACAAAAAGAGATAGTGGATGCCATGAAAGGCTGCCATTTGGAAACACATTTAACCATGAAATCAGAAAGCCAATTATGTGTGGCGAGAATCGAGTACTACTGGGAAATGGTGTGTGAGGACAACCCAGGGTCCACTGCTCACGTGGTGGGAGGCAGTGGGTGAGTCACACCATTGTAACCAGAGTCAGAAGCAAAAAAAAACTGTGTGTACCACAGAACACACTACCCGTCAAGAATTATTCTGATAGTGCCAATTAGAATAGGCCTGGGTAAATAATGTATGGAAAGTACGGTGTCTGGTATTGAGCACATTTCAACTCCTCCTCCTTATCAGAATTCAACCACAATGAAGGAATGAATGTTGAGTCACTACCTACACCTCATCATATCCCATAGGTCTCTGGGAGAAGTGGAGAGATGGAAGACGTCATCCATACACACACTTCTGTCTACAAGCTGATGCTGGACCCCAACTGGGTGGGACCAAGTCTGGACCACTGTGGGTCAGAAAAGGGGGTGCTGCCTGGGAGGTGACATCATATACCAAGTGCTTACAAACACAGGCTTTGGATTCACATAGACCTGGGCTTCATTCCTATCTCTGTCCCTTGTATGCCATGAGGTCAAATTTAACCTCTCAGAGCCTTAGTGTCCCCTTATGTGGACCATCGTACGTGTCTGTAGATGGCTGTTGGGACTCAAGGGGACAGTGTGTGTAGAAACCTCAGACTAATGTCTGGCATTGCTGGGCTGGTGGGGTCAGAGAATTACTCCTGGGAGGTGGTTCTTGGGTACAGGTGGGGTCCTTCAACTATAGGCAGGGTGTGCAGATGTGGAGAGCATGTGGGGAGAGGGTTCCTGGTGATAATGTTGTGATTGAGGCTCCTGCGCCCACATATGAGGCTTCTTCAGAGCTACGGGTCTTTTCTGCTTTGTGCTAATGGTTTTCTTTGACACCCCCAACTCACAAAGAGGCCTGCGTCACAGGAGGAGCTGGACACATGGCGGTGAACCTAGAAATCTGTGGCCTGCTTTCAAAAATCCTCCCAGCCCCTTGTGTGATCCTGCCTAGTTCATGTTCAACAGATACCTGGTCACTGGTATTTTGAGGTCTATATAACCTGAGACAACATGGATTGGCCGGAAGTTGTTCTACTTATGAGATAGAGGAACTGAGCTTGACAAGTGCTGGCAAAGCACATGCACTGCACTGTGTCTTGTTGATTGTGTCCAAGAACAGATGGCACCCTATGAGCAACCAGGTTTGCAAGATGAACTGGGCTATGCTGCTGAGGGGTGGGCCCCTCAGCTGTTGCTGCTGCTGTTGCCCACATGGTCTCTGTCCCATCCCACATCCCTCCTGACTCTGCACCCATATCAGGGCGTTATATTGCAATTTTCTCCTTCTGTCGGCAAAACCTTTCTTTTCACCTTGGTACCAACCATAGCACCTGATACATAGTCTCACTTATGGGAGGACTGTACCTTAAATTCTATATTAAAAGCTGAGGTATTCTTGTTATTAGAAGGAACCTTATAAAAATCTGTTTGTAAATAGAGATATTGCTTTTGGGAAGTGACCTCCTTATTTGTATCATTGGATCACAGAATAGAGAGAGAGCGTAGGACTGAAGTCTATGATCAGAAGCCTATGGTATAGAATTCAGGGGTGTCAACCTCATTTTCACCAGGGGCCACATCAGCGTTGTGGTTGCCTTCAAAGGACTGAATATAATTTTAGGACTGTATAAATGTAACTAGTCCTTAACAGCTAAACAAGAGCTCGGTGCTGCTGTCAGGTGGAAACAAGGTGCCGGGCTGGATAAAACAAGGTGGAGGGCTGGACTCAGCCCACTAGCCTTGTGTTTGCCACCTGTGATGTAGATGATCTTATCTACTAAGGTCTGAGTTGACTAGTCCCCACCCTGATTGTTCACTTCTATTTCAAACCTCCCAAGTTTTCGGTGCTCAGTGCAAGCATTGCCAGTAACCTGTAAATGCTGAGACAGTCAGGTCAAGGCTGCAAAAATACCCAGAGGGTATGAGCCATCTAGTCAAGGGCTTGGTGAAAGGAAACCCAGATGGAGTAATATTAGATCACTCAGAAGTGATGCTTTGCTCTACAATAGGATTCCTACAATAGAAATTAGAGAATTCCTACAATAAGATGAAATACTACTCCTGTACAGCATTTAAATATTTGGTAGAAGCTATGGATTAACAGTCTGAAAATACTCTCATAACGTATAGAGTAAATATCACAGTGAAATTAATGATCAACTTTTATATTGGGAAGGATGGGAAAAGGTTGAGATGGGGAAAGATGAAAAATATAAAAATAAAATAAGTAAGCCCTGATGTTTGCATCTCCCAAATGACAGTGTAAGTACACGGAATAAGGATTCAATTTACAAAAGTTCACTTGGCCACCCATCAATAGGGAATATATTTATTGTCTAATGCAAGGTACACAAGATACATTTAACTGTGGAGTAACTTTGTGTGTGGTGTAGCAAGTTGCTTTAAGAGATGATGCTACTACAAAATTTTTGAAAAATAATGATCCAGCTTAATTCAACTACCATTACCAAATGCCTCCTCTACACTAGGCCTGTACCAGGCATTTTGAGGGCTAAAGAGATAAATAAGATAGAGGCTGTGCTCTCTAGGAACTCCTAGTTGATGTGAGGATGATTTGAAAACAATCTAATGTTAAACAGAGGAGGCAATAGTAATGAAGGAGAAAAAATAAAACATGATTTCATTCAATTAAAGACTGATCACCTAATTCCAGGTATGAAGCCAGAAGAATTTTTTTTCATCCAGATGAGTGAGGCCTTACCTAAAGAACACAAGTGTAATAGACTCTAGTCCTCTCCTGGTCCAGTGGGGTTGGGAGAGGGCGGAGGGCATCTCTCAAAAGTAAAGGTTTTATAGAGAAATTAGTGACATCTGGGGTGTTTTGGCAGCCTACAGGCCCCCAGGAAATGAACTCTTTCCCTTCTGCCAGGGGGCAAAAAGCAGTTCTGATGAGCCAGCCTCTGTCATCACCACAGCAGCAGGTGGACTGAGTACACATCCTGTCCTCTGTCACTGCCCCGGAGAGGGGCCTCTGGGTCTTCTCTTTAAGATGGGACCCAGTGAATATTGTCTTGACTGCTGTTAAGAGTAACCAATCACTCCAGAGATGAGCTGCCTGGACCCAAAATGTCTACCAATCTTTTAAGAACAGAGAGCTAATATAAAATCATATTTCCACATTTCGGTCATAGTAGGTAAACCCAAACTGCATCAGCTACTTCTATAATTAAGGCCCATAGACTTCAGCAGACTTAGAAATCATCTGGTAATCAAAAAAAAAAACAGGTCTTGAGAACCAGAAAATCATGGTTCTATTCCCAATCAGGGCACATGCCTGGGTTGCAGACCGGTTCCCTACAGGCCAGTTCCCAGCAGGGGACGCATGAAAGGCAACCATACATTGATGTTTCTCTCCCTCTCTCCTTCCCTTCCCCTCTAAAGATAAACAAATAAAATCTTTAAAAAAAACAACAGGTCTTATTCAAAGTCATCTTTGTTCAAGGGTAAGACTATGCCCTAACCCACTCACCAAGGCAAACAGTTAGTCTTAGGTGATAAGGGTGTATTTGCAGCAAGACAAATGTCATCTGACCAGGGGCCAATTAGTTAAAATAATATTTGGATTTCAGAAACAGAGTAAGAACTCAATAAGTATTAGCAAAGGGCTTTACAAATATTATTTCATATAATCCTCATATTAGCTCTGTATAATAGGTACTATTGTCCTGTTTTATGAAAGTATGAACTAAGACTTGGGGAGGTTAAGTGAACATACCACGATCGCACATAGCTTGTAAGAGGGAAAACCCATATTTGACTGTCTAATCCAAGAGCCCCAACTCTTATTGACTTCACCACATAGGTTGAGGCTTAATGTTTCTGACTTGAAGGACGATGGAACAGGAATAAGTTAATGCTTTAGAACCTCAGCAGTGTCTGCCTGGCAGTTACTAGTAAAGAAGCCACATGTAGATTTGTGAAGAGCATGGCACCATGGGTGTAGCTGCAAGAGTCCAACCAAGTGAAAGAAAAGTAACAATTCTCTCTCGGTGGATAAATGCATAATGGGTAAATGGATGGATGGATAATTAGGTGAGTATTGCTTTTCTAATAAGAAATTAGGAAATGCTTCCAAAACAAAAAGCAAAAAACCATCCCCTTCCATTCATGGATTCAAGTTAAGTACCTGGTCACCACCAACCACATTAAGACTTCCTCACCCGACACCAAATACAGAGCATTATATAAGGGGTCTGCAGGAAGGGCAACAGTCTTCCAGGTGTTCAAGACACAACAGGCAGTCCTAAGTCACGACTCAGAGTGTGGGCAAGAGGCTTGTGGAGTCCACGTATGACCAGGTAACAGTCTGTGTATAACCAGGGGGCTTGACTGAAACTAGCTGGCTGACTGGATATGGACTTTGGGACCTTGTCTTCCATCACAACTGTGATTTATTAACACAGCACTAACCAAGAAAGCCAGTGGGAACACTCAAGCCATGTTATATAATACCAAGGCATAGTCAGTGCCAAGAAGAATAGCAAGATACAAAAAAGCCTGTTTGATTCATGTGCCAGAGTGGAAGTATGGTTTGGTCCCCAGTGTCCAGGATGGTTCTACATCCTGCTGGTACTGGCTCAAATCCAGTTCTAACATATGCCCTCCCTTCA